GACAGAGAAAGAGAGACAAAGAAAGAGAGAAAGAGAGAGAGAAAGGGAGATCCGTCCCGGGACTCGGCTCATCCTCGATTGATACGATATCCCGACCGGAGGAGGACAGTCGTTCAGCGGAGATTTGCTGAAGAGGAGGACAAATCTGGAGGCGAATCCGGAGCGATTGATATCGAGAGGAAAGCCCTGAAGGCAAGGCAGTGGAAATATGGCGGTGGAGACGGAAAGTTGTACCTCCTCTCTCTCTCTCTCTTGCTCAGAGCTTTATTCAGCCTGGAAGACGCAATGAATGGAAGCTTCTACGAGCCTCGAGCGCACCTCTTCAGACCGTCTAGGAACATCGGCAGGACTCTTTTTCTTTTTCTTCTCCTCCTCTTCTTCCTTTCACCTCGCCATCCGTCTGTAGCGTCGCGAGAGCCTCCAAGAGAAAGAGAATTTTCCACCTTCTCTCTCCCTCTCCCTTTCCTTTTTCCTCTTTTTCTTACTACGAAAAGGTCGACTCTTCGCACCCGCGGATTTTCACCCCGAGTACCTGCAACGGCGGTTCTATGGCGCGACGCTTTCCTCACAGCGAGACTAATTTGCACAATCTTTCTGAACACGTATCGCCGACAGTTAGAGGAAACAGCAGTTTACGTTACTTCTTTCTTGGTTGACTCACGATTTAGAAAATTGTACTTTACCTTTAAAAAGGGGACGGAGACGATTTCTATCCTGCCGCATTTACGTCGGTTACATGTTAGTGCCGAAAAGGAAGCCACGTGACGTAATAAAGGAGTAATATAAGCGCAGGCCTCGAAAATCTTCCTAGGCGAATAAAGCGCGAAGAAGCTCAGACGACGCGAAGACGAGCGTTGAAGCTACGCGAGGGGACTATGGCGTGGAAAAATAGAACATCTCCGAAGATGAGAAAGCGAGAAAAAGAGGGCGAGAGAGAGAGAGAGGGGGAAAGAAAATGAGAGAGACATTGAGGAAGAGCTGAAAGAGAAAGGGAGAGTAGACGTTGAAGGAAAGAAACACCTGGTGTATCGCACGCTCGCAATGATAGCGAGCGGATGATCTACGTCGGCTAGCGCTTGAGTTACGAGGGGAAAAGCGAGATGAAAACACAGCCCCGGATCGACGCTGCCTACGCCGTTTCTCGGGGCGAGTCGCCGCCATCCCTCTATCTTTTCCTTCCCCGACGAGGAGGAATCGACTTTTCTTGCTCTTAACAGATTTCACGGCGGCGGGGGCGCGGACGATGAGTTCGATTCCCGTTCTGATAAATCGCACCCTCCAGACCTTTTTCCCGAGCACCAATTTATATTAACCAAGAGAGGCATATGTGTTATGGCAGAGTCGTCCGGGAACATATACCGCGCGCAGGTTGGCGCGAAATTGCTCTGGCAGGAGCAATTCCATGACCGACGGGGGAGGCCCAGGAGGACAACCCTCGTAGCTATATACATGGTGTTTAGGAAAGTGGTCAACGAATATCGCGGTTACTACCGATTACTACTATCATCCGATGCAAAAACAATACCGTCGAGAACTTTCCCACGATAGTTACGTTCGCAACAACTCTAAACTCATCACTACTCGTTGGACTGTTGCAAAATGGTGCCTGACTTTCCTACTCAGTTTAACCCGTATTATCTTCGCACGAACGGAAAGGTTTTGGACACCCTATGTATTTTCGCCGGTGTTTTACACCTCGCGCGCTTCATAAATGTTGGGATTCCCGGTGACTCGAAATGCACGCACATGCCGCCGAGAGATCTCGCGCGTATTCCCGCGCGTGTCCCGGCTAGTAATTTTCCGGGTCCCCCGGAAATTTTTCGTCGCCGCGTCGAGACCGTCGAAAAAGTAGAGCGCGTACGTTTCCAAAGTAAAAGGCGGGTACGGAAGGGTCGGCTTTGTCACCGAATCCATCCGGCTCTTTCCATATCCTAGCGGCGTCGCCGCGCGTGCTCGTAAGGAACGCACGTTCGCCCGCGTTTTGCGTTACATTCCGAGCGCCATTGTAATGCGCATGCATTCCCGGCGAGGTATTCGCGTCGTGAAAAAACATCGGGGCCATACCGTGATTATTTTCGTACCCGCGAGACTGTTGCGCGTCAAAGCGCCGTCTTTTGCACGCGTTGCCGTCCGTAATTTGATGGTAGCTTGGAAAAGCCGCGCGGCGTTCGTTTCAGCCGGCGAACGCACGATGACTCTTGCGCAGAATTAATTAATACCCAACTTGCAGAAGGACAATGTCTACGAGGAATGCTTTGGCGAGGTATTTTTAATTCGTAATAATTCGTGTGCGCGCGGTGTGATTAATATGCGCATTTCGAAAGCGCCAAAAGATATTTTAAAAGAACGAGTAAGCCGCTACCAGAAAAAAATTCGTTTTAAATCAAGAATAGATATTCTCATATATAAATAAAAATATTATAATCTTCTTAGAAGATTTTTTTGTCTTGATCTGATTGAATTTGTAGTAATGCAATTACTTGCACTTAATTCAAGACTAAATTTAAAGTTTGATAAAATTTTATAAAATTTAATAAAAATTTCCTAAGAACATTTTTGATAATATTCTTGGTATATAAGAATATCTATCATTGATGTAAGACTATTTTTTTTCTGCGTAAAAAGCAGAACTGCCGGTCGACGGGGACGGCTTCGCCGGTGGCAGTTATTTTAACGAAACTATTAATCTTTTCGAAATTATCCTAAGATTGGACATTTTTAAACGCACAGTTTGTCAAGATCAAAAATAACGAACGTGAAGTTAAGGAAGAGGGAGTGAAAGAGAGAAAAAAAAATAACGCGGGATGTACGAACATTACGCCGTTCGATACTTGTGTCGATTTATCGCGATTTATTGCGAACGATGCCGCGCCGAATGTAAACATGGACGAATTTATGTAGGAAAGAGGAAATATTACTTGATATTTTTCTAATTTACAAAAACACGGAAGAATTATTATACGTCTCCGAATCAAAACACGAGCGCAGCCGGCGACGAGACGTAACATTTCCACTGATCCATCAATCATATACCCCCACGCATTGACATTTATCTCTTTCTCATTTTTTTTTCGGCAACGCAGATTCGTCGGTTCAGTTAAATAGGAATTTCGGTAAAATACCGCGGAAAATGAAAGCGCTGCGAAAGCTTCACGTGCGCGCGCGCACGACGGCGGCTTTACGGTCGCCGAAACACGTTACACAGCTTCGGCGAAAATGATTAACGACGCCAGGCAAGAGCGGAACGAGGCCGAAAACTTTCTGTACACCCGGTGGTGCACGTGCCGCCACCGAGTGATCCGGACACGTTGGCGAGCCGTGCGGTTTTCAGACAGCGCCGTCGTCGTCATCGTCGACGTTCGCGTCTCCGGAAATTCCACCATTTTTTCGCGTCCTCGTCGAAACGACGTGTGACGACGTCGAGGATACGTGACGAGAACAGGTGCGCGAGAAAAGTGCCGCCCGTCCTATTCCTCGCCGTGTGGCGGAGCCCACGCCGTAAAACGGCTGTCGTCTCTGTGCGCGCAAAATATTAATTAAGGTACGTTACCTCGCTAAAACGTCGTATCTTACGTCGGCTTTTTCCGCTCCCTCGCGGAAACAAATGTTAACCTTTTATCCCCTTCTTAACCCGCTCGTAGGTGCGAACATTTTCATCTCTCTCGGCCGAGAATTCGAAAAATTCGCTCACCGCCGTCGGACGTCGCACTTAAAGTGATCGTTTCTTCAAGGGAAATTTTTCGAATTCGAATCCCAGCGAGATAGCTTCGACGGTAGGGAAGCACCCGTGACGTGTATGAGAAATTCATCGGCGCTTTTTATATTCCGCTATTCGGTGAAGCTTACAATTGAATCGACTATTAATTTCAGCGGAACACAAACAGATTGCTTAATGGCGTTCACAAAATAATCCACAGGATGTCGATCACGTAAATAGATCGATTAATAATCATCAAGCTATCAAATGGCCATTCCCTCTCTTCCGCCCCCCGCCCCCCTCCTCTATCTATCTATTTATCCATCACCCTTCTCTCTCTTCCCGTTGAAATTTTCATTCGCTCGAAGGGACGCGCGAGAATCATGCCTGGGAATTAATTTTTCCTGCGAGACTCTACACATCGCCGATAATTTCTCTTCGTCTACCGGCCATCGATTCTCTCGCGACACACGTGAAGTTAATTAATATTTGTCATATCACTCGGTGGCACACGCTGTTATGCGAAAGATAATAACCGGTTACGTGAAAAATCAAGTTTCTCTTCAAGAGAGGTCGCGCGTCGCTCTCGCATTACGATCTACCGGAAATTCTCACGAAAGAACGTATCGGCGTCATCGTCCACCTGTGTCCACCGAGAAAACGATTCCCGGCCATTTCGATACGCGTTGGTCGCAGCGCAAACTGGGAGGAACGCAAGAACTAACTCTTCGGGGAACGCGAGAGCGACTGATCAGATTTCAATGGACGCATTTCAATCGAGGTCACTGCATACGAATTTCTCTTCGGTATGCGATGATTTATGGTTCGTTGCACGTTCTGGTCGCGGGAGAAAAAGCACCTCCCCCCTCCTTTCCTGCCAAAAAGCTCCGCGTGGACTGTACGCGCCATCGGCGAAATGGTCGGACCGGAAAGGAAGTTATCGGCGTTCCTTGTATTTCGTTTCGTCCCGCTCCGCGTGAATTACCGCGGCTGCCGAGATCGAGACGCGGCAGATTCTCAGAGAGGCAACAGACACATGAAGTCGAACACGCGAATGCATATTCCACGGCGCTATGAATTTGTCGCATCACTGAACGACAATTATCCGGAAACTTAGTGTACACTAATGGCTGTGCGAATCGGTTCAGGACACATATTATGGATTCGTTCAGAATTAACTTCTATCGGAATCGCTCAATTATTCCGTATAAAATGTAAGAGAAAATTTCTGGAATAACTAAAAGATTCCGGTCGATTCCAAACAAGTTTATCCGAATGATCTTATTCAATTGGAAGTACTCACCTTCTTGGCGTCATTGTTGTTGTCGGCCGCGTGATGAGGTTGAGGACTCATTGAAGCACCATTGCTGACTGCTCCGCTTTGCGACAGAAGCTCGTCGCTACCCCTCTGCAACAAAATAGAGAGCACATTCAAGTATATACAAATAACTCGTTCGCGACGCGAACTTCTCCCTATAAATTCTATTCGCCGCGTGTTCTCGCGTTTTATACACGATAACCCGATTTAGAATCACCGCGAATGTCGCAGCCATCGTAAATCTAAATCACGACGAGTTGCGACAGCGTTAATCAGAGTATTTTCGGAGTGTATTTTTACGAGTCGCGAGAACATCACGAAGCGGTAATCTATGAAATAAGATTAAGCCGGACAGTTTGCTACTACTTCGCGAGCGCTAATCGCGCCGCTCGTCCCATTTTATCCTCCCGTAGCTTTCAAGGGGAATTGAAATAAATTATCGCGTCGAGCATCTCTCGATTACTTAAGGAGTGGAAAGAAGGCTCGCGGATATCCTTCTCTTGGCAGAATCCATTCGACGTCTCGTCCTTGAGAGTGTCGATAAATCTCGGACCGGGCGTCAAAAGAAACGGATCAGCAACATACAGCAGTAAGATGCTTTTAACGCGAGTCCAAGTCTAAATACTTAACGGAGTCTCTCAGACGCGGAAAAACGTTGCGGTCACTCGAGCGAAGGAGCTTCTCTCTGTTTCTCTTACTGTCTCGCGAGACATTAATAATTAATCCACGACCCTTCGTCTCCTTCGCGAATCACCCTTCGTGAAGCGCTTCTCCTCTCTCGGTTCTTTTTCCCATGGTTAATCCACCCGTACGCGTTAATCGCCACGAAGAAAAATTCCAAGCGAGTGAAATAGCCGTATCGTTGCCGCTGAGAATGATAATCAATTCGCGATGGAATGATTTTCCCGTGAGAAGGACGCAACGTACGTATTCGTCACCTCGCTAAGATCGCGACTTTCTCGCTTTCGCGTGATCTGTTATGCAGTTACGATCACGCCTCGTCGACGACATTCGGCGTCAAAGGAACGTCGCGCACATCAGCCGCCGCTTAACGAAATATTTATCACGACCGCCGCTTGTCGTCGCTGCATTTATTCACGAATTACAGGTTGCATTATGCAGCCGGCGGTTGGACGCGCCCCGGTTAAATCTGCACAGGCGAGCTTTGACAGTGGGAGTAGCGACGCGTCGGCGGATGCGCGCGAAAGATAATTCATAACTCGCAAGGAAAACCACTGGGAACTCAAGGCGGCGGCCATGTCGAGACGGAATGTGAGATCAAAGTCGGGGAAAACGACTGGACGAAGGCGGAAGGAAAAGGATGCGGAAGCTCATCCTGCAGATTCGCTCGGATTATCGAACAACAAAGAGTAAGATTAAACCCTCCTTCCTCTTCCTCCTGTGTTAATTTTTCTACTCCGCAAGCGTATCGCTTTCACAGAAAAATCGTTTCTTTGCTATTGTGGAATTAATCTTGTAATTTGTGTATCCGTCTTCCCCCGTGTCTTCTAAAATGTATATAAAGCATGTACTCTGAGAAGAAAATTGCCGTAGATCAAAGACGCGACTTCCTGCGCGTAAATTAAAGGAAACGAGAGGTCGCCTCCGCTTTACAAGGAAGAAACGCGTTACCTCCTCGAATTCAACGAAAACATGATTATTTTTCAACGATTCCCCGCTTTTCCACTCGGGAGCGACGGCAGCAACGACTCCCCATTTCGCCGGACATATTTTATATAAATCCACTAATCGTCGGATTACGTCGAACGCGGAGAGTCGCCGGTGTTTACTCCGAGCTAATCGAAAAGTTATCAGAGGTAGACGTCGAGCGGCGCAATTAGAGGGGCACATTTTCTACGCGCATCTTCTTGTGCATGGTTCGTACATCGCAAAAGTACACACACGTACGTCGCGAGAGCGTCCTCGGCGGACATCGAGTGTGCGCTGTTAGGCGGAATATCGTTCAAAGAGCGGCAAGAAGGAGCTCTCGTACGAAACGGGGTCCCTCTCTCACCGCGATCACAGAGAGCGCCCGAGGGGGCGGAGAAACGGAAAACCGCACGGCGAGGCACTCGGATCCCGTATTTTCCTCGCGGATACCGGGGAGAGAGATAGGGGTTCATCCTCTGACCAACATCCGGTAGAACTAACCGCGCTCGACCCCGGCGCTCGTGTATTATTTATTTCACCGCGAACGTATGGATTATGGCTCCCCGAACCACCCCCGAACAACCCCACCTCATCTCCTCTCGCAACCCCCGTCACGGGCTCTCTCTCTCTATTCTGTGTTTTCATCCTTCAATTCTCCAGCCCAGCGAAGCAACCTACGACCGTCGAGCGCAGCGTTTCTCCTCCTGCACCCCCCCTTTCTTTCAGTATCGCGCATTGTTTTCTCTCGATCCTCGAGACCTTGTTCGCTCTTTCTTTCCCTCTCCCCTCCCTAATCTCGCCTACTGTTTTCTTTCCGCTTTTCGTCCTCATCCACGCGTCCGTCCTTTCTGCTTCTCTCCGCGATCAATCTTCCGTGCGTCCTGATGGGCGAGCGAGCGTTTCACGTGTCCGACGACCCGCGTGGAATCGTCTCACGATCGCGCGGCCGGATGGACGGCACCGGAAACGATAGCTTCGCTCGGATGACAAACCAATCTCACGCGCCGGCTGCGGACCCGATGAGAGCTCTCGGATGCCGTCGAGAGAAGCGAATCCAGCGACACGCTCCGTTGAGCTCGTATAAATCCATGGACAAGTGCCCGATACGAGAGCACTTCGGCCCTCTAATTATTTTCAATCACGGCGTAACGCGCGTTCGCGAACGAAATCCGCAGTATACCGAAGTCGTTAACGCGGGCAATTTTAGCCGTTATCTCCGTGGCGCTCGCGAGCCGGCGATTGTCCACCGCTGGATAGGTCAATTTCCTCGTCTCGGACGACGTCGACGACGAGCGGCGAAAGGATGCGAGACACGCGGCGTAGCGCCACTAAGATAATATTGGCCGAAGATAGCCGTGCTGATAGGCTGTCGGAGGAAAGGGCTTGGCTGGTCGGACCATTATTGCCTTTCGAGATGGATGGCTCTTGGATACACGTCCCGAAACTTTAACCGAGAGATTACGAAGAGAGCTTCGCGAATCGGGGCGACAGTTGGATTATTTCGCTTTTTACGAAGCGGGGATTATGTACACGATATCACTTATATTTCCCCCTCTCCCACGCGCGTTTCCTGCCTCACCCCACCCCGATAAACAAAGTTTCGTCTTCCCCCGCGATTGGCAGCCGCGAGGAATCGTTATTAAATATCGTATGACGAGTGACGGAAATTTATCGGCGATTGATCGACGTCGCGCACCTGCGACCGCGAGCCATCGTTACGCAATAAAGGCTGAATACTGTAAATAGAGGGGTGCCTACAAGGGATAAACGTCAGTTCGTTTTATTGACGCGCGCGTTACGGAAACTAGCGGCCGGAGATACGCCGGACTTTAAATTGATAATACCCGCGGTGAGGACGAGCCGGGCGTAATTAACCGGCGAATGATGACAGCGAAAATCAATTAATCGGTCGTGGGACGGCGCGAATCGTCGGTTCATCCACGCGTAAGTTCGCGAGATAGTCCTCCGGACTGTTAACGGGAATTTAATCGAATGTAACGAAAAGCAATCGATGACGGATAGAATCGATAACGCCGACGATAATGCCTAATAAGGGAGATCTTTAATGCGACTTGTATCGGCGACTGCGAACCGGATAACCCAAAGGGAGAGCGGAACTTACCCGTCGGATCGTGTTCTCTCGACGGAGACCCTTCTCTACGGCAAATGACGTGGAAAGAGGGCAGAAATTAAAGCCGCTTGTTAGGGTGAAGCGCGCTCTGACCGATCGCTTCGTGCTTCGGCGTCACTGAGCCGCGAATTAAAGCAGCGAGGAGATACACACGAGGAGTCGCGAGAATCGCATCGAACAAGATCTTCTCTTTCGTCGCGTAAAACCTGGACTTTTGTCTTTCTCGGTAAGGCGGATTATCCAGGAAAACGGATCGTGCTTTGTTTATTTATCATGTAATCAATATCGCGCGTTTCGAATCGACACCCCATTGTCTCTTCTGGCGATTCTGAGACGCGGAGGATCGTGAAGAGCGCGCTTCGGTTTCAATCGCTCGCGGCATAATAAAAGCCGCCGCCTGAACGTTTCCCTCGATGAAAGAGGAGATGGATCGAATCCGCGATTGAAAGGCAGTTTCGGGGCGCGCGACGTATTATGCCGCGTCGCTCTTCGATAAGGACTGGGGACTTAACGAACCGGCGGTTAATTTAATGCTCGCGAACGAGGGCGATCGTATTGAGAAGTTCGACGCGTGCATAATGGCGCCGATCGACGCTATCAGTACGCCGGCGAACATCCGTGACTATCATCATTAGTGGCGTTTCCTTCCGCGCGGCCGTATCTATCCGCTAATGAAGTCGGTGCGAGGATTTCGCCTTAATTAGCGCGCGCCGTTAGGAGGTTTCGCTCACGTCCTGCGGTCGACAGCAACCTGGCCCTTCGATTCGACCGATCGATCGAATACATGTCGACGATCCGGCAAGAGCGTGAGAAACGCGTTCCTGAAAAATCCGGGCGAGCGCGTTGAAACGCTACTTCGCTGAGAAAATGGATAGTTAATTCAGGCTCGATCGATGCGAGACGCGGAAGTCCGTCCCGAATTACGCGCCGATAATTCGCGAACAGCGGCTCGTCTCGCCGTTTCCGTCCGTGCGCTGCTTCAGAGTCGCCTCAAAGAAGCGCTTGTCTTCCTGCGAAGTACGATAACAAAGGCCGAGATATACCGTCTTGGAAAATTGACGGCCGGTAAAGGTGACTGTAAAGCGACGTCGCTCGGACGGTTCTCCCCCGAGAAAAAGTCTTTTCTGTTAAACGACGGCGGGATAATTAACTCTCTCCGTTAAACGTTGCGGCGATGACGGCCGCGGTTTTACGCGCGAGTTCGTCTCTTGTAGCTCGGCAATGCCTCGATCAAGTCTGTGATTCGGTCGCGGGAAATCGGCCCGATGTAAGAAATGATTTCTCCCGATTACATTTCATTCCGAGGCAC